TCACTTGTATTAAATCAGGTTGCTTAAATTAAACTGCTGCAGCAACCAGTTGACACGAGCTCAGTCCAGAGAAAGAGTCTCAGCAACAGATTAAATGACGGTCTTCACTCCATTAACGACGCAATCTAATGTTTCCGAATGACCACATGCATCTCTGCTAATGTCCAACGTTAACATGTGAATTTCATTTTTAATATCTGCTCTTTTCTTACCCGTAACACTTCTTCTCCTCCATAGAAGTAAACATCAGACCTTTTGTCTAAGCGGCTTAGCTGGGGGTTTTTTGTGTGTGGTTTTGGTTATGTAAAGGCTTTGCTTTGGCCTTGGTGTCTAGACTGGAGGTATCACACTGAATTAGGAGCAGTGAGAAGAGTTACAGATAACAGAAAAAGTTCAAAATGTGCACCTTCTTGGTACATTTGGACATAAAAGTGCATAAAAAGCTGTTAATAATACTATTTTTCTATCATTATTGAGTGTATTAGTCTCCACAGGGATGTAATATCATGTGCTACCCAAGCCGGTGGGGACGCAGCCCAATCAGGTGTTCTGCAGGATGACTGAGGCCAAAGATAATGAGGTTAATTAGTAGTCTCGTCTATTTACAGGTGTTTCCTCTTTCAGACAAACACATTTCTCCTTGTTTAGTTCACTAAGCTAATCTATATCCCTCCTCAGCCTTATTTCCTGTTGATTGCAGTGAATTAGGAGAATAAAATGCATTTATTTTCTATGCAGATTTGTTACAGGAAATAAAGTTAATAAAATAAGTTTGAAGTTCTTTGCATGTCATTTTTATAATGTGTGGAGGTTTGCAGCAAACTTCCATCGCTCAGATGCGATTGTCTGGCTGAGTGATCTCTTGTTATTGATGGATGCTTTTTAATCGCTGACACAAGCTCACAGCCAAGCTCCAGAGCGGGAGGTGTGTGTGTGTGTGTGTGTGGGTGGGGGGGTTCAATCACCATCTGTTGAGCAGTCCACCACCCTGTCCCAAGCCTATTCATCTTTGTCTGTGCTCACCCAGGCCACTGGAAAATGGGACATAGTCAATAACCCTAAATCAATCAAGCACTCTTGATGAGGAAAAATTATGAATTCTCATCCACAGTCAGGCGAGCGGTGGCAGCAGCCTCGAAACTTCTCTCACATATGACCAGATGGTCAAAGAACAATAGGCACTGGCATGAGGATGAGGTGGTCAAGCATGATCTCTGACATGAAGGTTGCTTTTAATTCCACTACTGAGCTAAAGGAATATTGAAAATAGACGCATCTGGTGAATTTTAATATGGGAAAAGACCACCTTTAGACTAATAATCATACACCTTTCTACTATAAACTAATAAATATATTTCTCCCTAGTCTTGTGCTGTACATCCTTGTGTGTGTTGCACCCTCGGAGGGACGTGTTGTTGCTTGTGTCCAGCTCCAGTCGGTGCTGCAGTGGATTAGTCAGCTGCATTTATTTAAAGGTAGTGCAGAGAGGAGTGCAGGAGCTTCGGTTCTGTGTGTGCAACATCTTCAAGATGCAGCGCATCTACATGCACAGCAATGAACACTTTGAAGTCTTCACCACTGTCCTTGCTCCACAAGGTGAGTGCAATCGTGTCTGCAGTGGTGTGGCGTGTCATGACATTATTTACATTGTTGGTGAGAGCAACATGGCATATCAATGTCAAATGATGAATAAATAATGGGGTAGATCTTTTGTTTTCTCTCCCTGTGGACTGTTCATTTACTGAAGGACGTGGTTGTAGACATACTTACGTACAAACATGTATGTGAAGAAATTCTTGTGCATGTTTGCAGCTATGACAAATTATAAAACTAACCTTTATTTTTTTGCTGATTCATTTCCACTCTCATTGGTTAACAGGGAGGTATCGATACAGAGCCGAGGCTGAAAAGGCAAGTTAAATATTTATTTATGTAAATATGAATCTTATATGAGTGTATCATAGGTTGCAGGGTGTTCATTTAACATCTTAAACAGCAGAAATATTAAAATAATGTGATGTTTTCTACGCCTTACATATACTGGAGATTGAATGATATGAGTTTGACCTTGATGTTATATAAAGTCAGTCTATTACCTGTGGCTCCATTATGTGTTTAATTTATCTAATTCCTCTGACAAACATGGACCATATTTATAGGAGGAACAGATAATGAATAGTAGACCCAGATTTAGGATTTCTATTCTAATATCTGACCCCTGAGACACATAATCCTCAGGCCTGTAGGCTGCAGAGTATACATACATAGCAACCACAGCAGTACAACAAAAAGGGAGGCAACAAACTGCACTTTACTTAGATTCTGTGTAACATTTGAAAGTGCATCTTGCAGTTTTGAAATGAAAACACCGGCTGTAACTCTCCCTTTGTCCATCAGATGGTAGTGGTGCACAGCTACAGCCCCCACTGGCCAGATGAGCTGGAGCTGTCTCCTGGTGACGTCATCCTGGTGCTGTCCAAACATGAGGAGGAGAGGTGGTTTGGGCGGCTGCAGGACGGCCAGCGGGGCTACTTCCCCGCCTCCTGTGTGATGGAGCTGAGCCAGGTTGGTTGGCTGCCTGAATGAGCTCAGCAATGCAGCATTACAGGACTGTGTTGTTGCTGCTGCTTAATGTCAGAAGGCAGATTGTACTTTCTAGTCTTTTCTGCTCTGCTCTTCACAGGCAGTGTACATTTTAAAGACTATGAAAACATTGTTTCTCAATCAGCTTCTTACAGTGAGCAATGGGATCTTAATAAATATATTTTTAAAGGTTTGGTTTACTCACTCAGGAGTACTACTGAGCTGCCTGCTGCGGCTCTGTAGGGGCTTTTTTTAAAGTCTGACAAAATAACCTTGAAGATGTCATAGGGGTGTCATCACCTTAAAAGTCTACATTACAAACTGGAGTTGTGGCCATTTAGAAAGTCTAATAAAAGACATTATTGAGTTGCATTATGGGACATGTAGTATCCACTGTTACAATTCTTTTAAGATCTGTGAGTCCCAACATTATGGAAGTGTAATACTAAAGTTAAGTACAGTTGAGTATAAGTTTAAAAGGCTTAAACAAGACAAAAACTATTACAGCATTACATAATTTTGGTCATCAGTGTTGTTTGCTGCTAAAAGAAAGATTCTTTAGTTAGTGTTTTTTATTATAGCAAGAAAATATTACATAATGGTTGAGACATCCATCATTCAATCCAATGATTAAACAGTACAAATAAACTTAAAGGACCAGTGTAAAGGTTTTAGTGGCAACTTGCAGTGTAGTTGCAAGTGCAAAAGAGAAACTATTGTGACTGTGGAACATGCAAAAAATGTGAATGTATCTAGAGTCCTAGTGTACTGTATCTACAACATATCAGCGTCCACAGAAGGTGATCCGTCTGTAAATTTAAAAAAAGGCTCATTATAAGGTAATAAAGACACAACATTTTTTATTTTCAGGTGATAATAGACAATTGAAACATACATATGAATATTATATTCCATTTCTGCCAATAGATCCTCCTAAATTTTTACACTGGACCTTTAAGTACTGCCATTGTCTATGCAAAGAAATAACAGTAATGGATTTTGAGCTGTCTGCTGTGATTTAGCGTAAAAAAATAGTCGGATATACCAGAGGAAGTGTGTATCAGGACATCTGTGGGACATTTTTAACTCAAACACACTCAATGGTTCCTATTCACAGGTGAATCTCCCTCCAAAAGCCCTACGAAGGACTTTATATCTGAGAAACCCAGCCTGGGACAACGATTCAGGCGTACGCAACAGACATGGAAAGTAGGTGTAAAACTCGTACAGCAGCCGTAACAACAAAAACACATGTCGCCCACAACAAGTGCATGCATACACATCATGCACACACCCTGCACCCAGCAGCTGTTCTAACACCGAACCCCCACACATCCCCCATCCCCAAATCCCATCCCTCTGCTCTCCGCCCAGCGCCCCTGAACAGGTGGCCCCTCTCGTCCCTCATTAGTTGACAAAGCACACTGATTACTAACCCCCCTAAACACACACATACATGCAGGCGTGCACACACACACACTAGTCAATCCCCCTCTCACCGCACTGCATCTCATTAAGGCCAAAGAGGAACAGGAGGGAAAGGAAAGACTTCATAGTTTTTCATCTAAAAAGGAAATTAAAATGTTTGACAGCATAATTTAAATCTTACAGGAATATTTATGATAGATTGTCAAAAATAAAATAACTTTTTTATCAAGACAGTTGATTCAGTGTTGCAGCGAAAGTTGTCTGATCTTACTGTATCTTTCTTGCAGTTTATTTGACAGTAGGGGGCATTTATTTTTGACAGCCTGCCACTGAACTTTGCTCACACACTCACATAAACACACACATCACACAGAGCCCTCTGTACAGCTCCGTGCCTGTCTTGTCTGCTAGCGGTGGAATTTGGGTCATGAGGAATAAACAGGGCCTTTGTGTTTGTTATTTCCTCTTTGTCCCCCAGTGGACACATTCTGCAGGCGCTCAGGAGAGGGAGCAGAGGAGGTGGAGTAGGAGGAGGTGGGGGAGTGGGGCTGGATGGGGGCCAAGGTGAGAAAGAGGGCCCCTTCCTGGTGCGGAGGCCCCAGATCCCTGTGCCTCAGCCTGTGGCCTCCCAACCTCAGGCACACAGATCCCCAGGCCTGCTTCACAGGATCTTGTCCAAGTGCCGGAAAAAGAGTGAACGCCAGGGAGCTACCAACGGGGCCTTCGAGGGCGACTAAGAGGCCCTTCTTTTTCTCCTGGGTGGCTGAGCCGAGTTCACGTTGGTGGGGCTGCATTTGGCGGGGGGGGGGGGGGATTGACCGAAAGAATACTAGGGTTGGATGAAGTGGGATTCGTCATTTGCATATCGCTTGTTTCTGGATAAAGGGGGCGGAAAAGAATTGGTTTCACATACACAAAATCTGACGTAGATACCAAAAAACGTGGTGGAAATGTACCAATTTTCAACTCTGTAAGAAATAAAGGATGGTTTGTGACACAAAGGCTTTTGATTAGAAAATCTATTGGAGTTCGAAAAAGAATTTTTGGAAATATGGTTATACTACAACATAATAGATACGAAATTAAAGTCCTTGCAAACTTGACTCAGGCAAAAACATACTTAAGCATTATTTTAGAAAGCGGGTCTCCCTAATTCCCCTCCTTCTAATTAAATTTACACACTACGCAAAAAATAGTTCACGCAAAGAAGGTGCTTCAATGCTGATCCACAAGTTCGGTTTGTATCCTATGCCACATAAAATGTTTTCAAAGCACAAGATGTCCACTCATGCAAAAACTAGGGGAGTAAACTGCAATCTCTTTTGCATAATATTTGGAAGACATTGCCAGTTTTTAGAGGTCTGCCCTTCCTCCCCACCCTGCCCCACCCAGCCCCACACCCCCGCTTTAGGGAAATGCGCACTCGGGTGCACCCCCTAAGTTCTTTTCCACGCCGGAGACTAGGCCCCGGTAGCTCTATGGGGCAGCATAGGGGGGGGGGGAAATAAAAAGTAAACAAACATTCTTACCAGCACATGCCGGCACCCCATACTGTGCATGCTGCACCATCCGTGACACCCATAACTAATCACGACACAAATCATCATTCTCACTGTATATCAACGGAAACCTACGGAGCCGCACACCGATCGCTCGCTCCTGACTGCGCTGCCGGCGGCGCAAGCGGGCCCCAAAGACATCCGCTGCCTCCTAAAGAAAATTGTGTACTGAAAACATCACTCTGTTAGAGACCGTAGCTGTCTCATCTAATCTCTCGCTTTAGCAGTCCGATTCCCATGTCACCCAGGGATGCATACCGCTCAGGGGATTCATTACACCTTGTTCTGGTTATATGTTCATTATGTTACCAAATTCATGTTCACCATTAAAAATATTCACATTTTGCAAATACACTTATTTGACACTTGCAGAGATATCTTACTGGTAAGCTAAACAGCAGCACCGTAACGCTTTGCTTAGCAACACTGAAACGCGGAGTCCTTTTTTCCTAACAAGGTAAAATTAGTGGATTCACTACTACGTTATATTTGTTTGTTTAATCTGTACAACCAGTTAAAACAAATTAATGGAGTCCTATTTGTGGTTGCGAAAGTAACGGATTCCGCTGGCAATTTGACGCCTGGTGCTTTACACACGCTTTGTGTCCGCATGTTGCTTGCCGCCGCCGTTCTCGTCCGTCTCCATGGCCGTTAGTTGAGTTCTCCCGGGCTATTCATGCGCCTCCTTAGCAACTATTACCATCAGCAACCATAGTACAATTCTCTTTGTCTGGGGTAAAGCCAAACACGCTTTTTTCTTCTAAAATTTAGTTCTCACTATTACTATACCATAAATGTCATAGTTTTGGGTTTACTTCAGCAGTTGTATCTGACGCTCGCTCGCGGTCGTCGTCCGAAGGACAGCTCCCGGGGGTCAGGCGACAGTAAAAGCCTACAGTTTGTTGGGTTACTCAACTTGACGAGTGACACGTACCCCTCATGTCTGCTGGTTTCCAGAGGAGCTGTTATTTCGTCCTGCTCCGTGACTCGCACCGGCGCAAAAATAAAAAATTAAAAAAAACAAAAAAAACAAAAAATATAGGGCCTGAAGGCCCCGATATCCGGTTGCGGCGCGAAGGATTTAGTGCAGTGTAAACAGGTGTAGAAGAGGCAGGCAGAGGGAGAAGAGTTACCTTAAGATAAGACGGGCAAGCAAGGCTGAGCTGCAGAAGGACATGCATCTTAGTGGCGGAGGCCTGGGTTGAGCTTCGGACTGATCTTAATTTAAGTGCACATAACTCAGATGTATAATGGCTGACAGACGCTATGACCGACCCGCGCCGCACCTAAACTCAATCCCCTACACGCCACGCCAAATGCTTGACAATCAAAACGCTCGGAATTAACCCCAATTTCCTAGTGCAATGCAGAAAGAATCAAACAAGCTTCTTCATCTCTCCCCTGGCTATTCATTTCGTGGAATCGTTTTGCGCCCCCTTGGACGACCACATGCAGCTTTGGAGGAACGGGGGTAGGGATCCTGGGCTGCCTGCATTACAAAAACATTCAGCACAAAAATTAGCCCGCATAATGACCTCTAAATAAGCAAATAACAAACGGGGGGGTGGGGGTCGGAAGCATGCTGAGCTATGAACGATGTCGGGTCGTTTTAAACATAGGGGTAATAGGGCTGCGTAATCAGATCTGCTTACTGTACACATGTACAGTATTTAAAATTTGTAAAGGGTAATCTGTATCACCATTCGTGACCAGTGAAAACTGACGACGAAAACCAAGGTAACCCTAGAAGCTGGCAAACGAAGAGGTGAAGAAGAAGGTCAATGTAAAAGCACTCCGCCCAACGGTATTGATCAGCCATATTGTTTTTAAATGCCCCCAACATCATAGCCACAACATGAGTTACCCTCACACAACCCAGTCTGGAGCAATGAATCCAGGGAGAATATCTGAAACAAGAAGTTCTGGGACAATGGGTCATGGGTCTTCATGACAAACGTGTTGAGTTGCCTTGTTGGCGCCGATGCGAAACCGCGCATACTTCTGGACACATGCCGCCTATCCCGGGTCAGTCCCCTCCCAGGAACATGGAAAATGAGGGTGAGTCCACATCACCCCATGCGGAAATGGCGGTTAGGCCATAGCAGCCGCCGCCAGGTGACAATAGGCCCGGGACTTGGAGGATAGACACACCAGCTAGCGAGATTGAGATCCGCTCATACTCTGATCCCCTCCCAACGCGCGTACCCACATGTCGCATGGACCAGCTGAGAAAAAATCTTGTTTTCAAAATTTTTATAAACTATTTTCAATATGGTCCATGCAAACTCAACTCTTGTATTCTGGGTATTATGATCATGCAATCTATTCACAACCATGGGTCTACAAAACCTTGATATAAGAAATGACGAAACTCTCCTTTCGGCGCTCACCCTCGGTTTCCGGCATGGTACCATTATAATAAAGCACCCTAAGCATAAAACGGGAAGGCATAAGGCATTCATGACAATGAGCTTAATTCTATGGTGAGGAAAAGACAGAAAAAGTATTCAGATCATCACAAGTTACAGACAACACAGTTAAATATACAAGATCTCATTCATACACGTAATAGTACAGATAACAAGCTCTTGTACTTTAGTACGATACCTGGATCTTTGGGTTATTAGCTTAATAGTGGCCGATAGTGAGTATATACGACACCAATAGTCTCTGATTGATTGTTCACCGGGACTAGCCAAGGGGGTAGGGAGTCTGACAGACTAGACAGGTACTTCGGGGCTAGTGTGCGTGGTAATTTACCTTCATTTCAATATAACACTCGCATAAAAACAACTGCTATGCCCAAGATGTGTACAGCTACAAATACACAAACACAAAGAGACCAGCACCATGCCAGACTATTATTAGTTATAAGGTCTACTGACAGATATGGTTCTTACACAAAACACCAGCCTACGCGGGAGTCCGGATGTTCTAAACAATGCAGCGAGGTGTATGGGTGCGCCTGATATACTTAATGGGACGTTGTATCTCCGCAACATATCCCTTAAACCTACTAAATAAACCCAGATAAAGGGAGACTTTCATTTAATTGGTAGTCAGAAAAAGCAAGCAGTTACGGGGGCACCAGTCGACCGGGTGAATGGCCACTGTGTGTGCTGCCATGTGGTGGTGGGTCTGTGGTACCACTGGCGCCATAATTAGCGCGGAACCTGTACTAACTCCATCCCCCCCTCTTTATAAAATGCCCTTTAATAAAAATATACCCCGTGTAAAATGGCCCTCTGCGCAGCTAAATGAACCTGGTGTTCATTATTATGACACACCCTCGCAGAGGAAGAAACAACAGTGGAAATACCCTTCAAAAATGTCAGGTGATGAAGACCGGCGTTAATGATGGCCTCTGCCTCTCGTGTCCAATAATACGAACTGTATGTTTAGCTTAACTAAGCCATTGCCTCCCCTGGCAACATGTTTCAACTTCTACATGTCTGAATTGTTGGGAAGCCATCCCTCCGGTGAAACATTGAAGTAACAAGATAATCACCTGCCCACAGCCGTTCAAGCTCTCTTGCCCAGTCCAGTGCTCACGCTGTTAAACACGTGTCTCTTCGGGCTCAAAATTATGACGCCTCAACTGTTCTGCGTGATCGTACATGGATGGCAAAATACGGACCATCGCGGCCAATGCTACTTTGATGTGGGGAGGTTCTGTCAACTCCCAAGATGCGAGGGTCATTTCCATTCAGCTAGCAGCTTGATGATGACGAACCCGCTCAGTACGCGCCACAGCAACCACTGACATTCTTAAAACCGATAACTCATCCATAGATTACCTCCACACTGGGATACATACTCGTCAACACCATTCACAGATAGTATGTTATCACAGCATCAAAAACTAGTTCTAATAACTGCTGGACCCA